ATCGCTAAAAGGATCTATACTTGGACATTATTTTCCAACATGGCGTCTATGACGTAATCAAAGATGGCGAATACAATTAATAATGYAGCTTGCYCATCCCMAAGTAWYWGYGCCTTTGCATCGAAGCAAGRCGACCAGTGAGATTGATAGATATATTGTTTTATTGCCTATACTACAKCTGGTATTATTGCATCGCCTCGYAGTTTGATTCAAGGTACGCTTACCTTTAAGATTGTGCAATTACTTTTGAAGGAGACTTTGCTCATTAGACATGATGTTTCCGTCATAGAATAGTCTTGGTTTGATATCAAAATGAATTATAAAAACATTAGTCTAGGTTTCTAAGCCATTAGATATTTTGCTTATTTAAAAAAAAAACTCTCCAGCGAACGCAATTAATACCGTCTGTATCACGCARAGACACCTCTTGTTCGCTACAGGGAGCTTTTCCGCGTAAGTGCAATATATGATTTGCGATACTGAACGTGGTATATTGAAGATTTATACTTGTTTTTGAATTCAGCTTGACTTGATTTSAAATAGTATTATATCAACCATTCATATACGACATATACACTCATCGTTTTCTATAAAACTGATAATTATTTCCCTTTTTTTCAAACGAGTGTGTAATAAATATGAGGGATTATATCACAAAATGGGTATTTGGTTTGGCGGCCTTATCTAGCAGGCCGAAAGGCTTGTTTCAGGGTCTTATTCCTTTGTCGGACTTTTGTGCTGATAATTTTAATTAAAATTAAAAATTATTTTAAAATATACCTTTTTATCATGTGTGATAAAGTTAAGTTTCTGAAAAAAACAGATATGGACGAAATCAAAAAATGGTATTGACTTAAAAAAATTTAATTAATTGCTGGAAGGTCTAATTATTTTAACTCTTTTCCCGTCTTCCTGTAACATTCGCATCAAAATTACCAATTATGTCCTCTAGAATATACCAACCACGTGATTTCAAATTCACTCTAATCTTAATTAATTGTCAATATCCTACTTTTACCCATACAGTTAACTCTCTTTGAACGACA